TCCACAGCTGCTGAGCAGGCTTTATGTCTCCTCAAGACTGGCCATCGTTACTCATGTCGCCGTTAATGACTGTTCCTGGTCTAGGGCGAACTCGGAGTTTCTCTTGCCCTGCTGCCACTTGTCAAGGTGGAGCTCCTGGGCCCAGGGAGCAGGTGGAACTGCCAGGCCCTTGGCCTGCCTACTCTAGTGGGCCAGTGGCCCTCACTCATTGTGCTCCTCTAAATTTTTCAAGAGACCCTTTTTCTTTTGTCTGTATCCTTTTCCTATTAATCATGAATGAAAAAGTATTGTTTCCCAGTACTAGTCAGAATGAAACCTCTTTTATCCAGCTGTTGAGGTTTTGTCAGGGAGAAAGACACCTGCTCTCCTTTCAGTTTTCCTTATGTGAGGCAAATGGGGACTGTGAACGCAAGCTCTTTGGGGTTATGCCTGGTAAAGGGCATGATGGCAGCTGTCTGCTGTAATGGTGGCTGAGGACTTCATAGGGTCTGCATTTGCTGACAGGTGTTCTCTTATTGCCTTGGCCTAGCGCATGGGGTGTCTTCTTGCTCTGAGGCCTGCACAGAGCTTCTCTAGAGGTAGGCATCTTTACGGTATTTGAGTTGTCTTTTGGCATTGGCTGACTGGACAAGGAAAGACATGCCCATTGCCTGGAGGCAGTTGAATTCATAAACCATGATGAGCCAGTTGGGCTTAAAACTTTCAGATTCAGTTGTGTGCTGCTTGGATTAGACCAATTAATAGAGTGGGAGCAAGAGAAGAATGAAAGAGTTACGGCAAGAACTATGGCAAGGCGCATAGCACACACATGAGATGCGCACTGCTTTGGTTCTGGAGGTCTTCCTAGTTTCTAGTTCTGATCCCTGCTTATGCAAAAATATCAGTGTATATGGAGTTTATAACATAAGTAGAAATAAAAAGTAGGACCAATAACACAAAGGAAGGTCAGGGGTGGGGGTTATTAGAGTGAATGGAAGTTTGCTGCTGTGTAGTTTTTGCAAGGTATGTGAAATGGCGTGTTGTCACCTATGGGTAGACTGTAGTATGTATGAATGTTAAAAACTCAAGGCAACTAGTAATACAGTAAAGAGTTTCAGCTCACAAGCCAAAAAAAAAAGGGAATTAAAATGGAATAAATAAATACATCATTATTCCAAGTAGTTTTTTAAAAGGTAGAAAAAGAGGGGAAAGGAAGCAGAAAAATAATGGGACAAATAGAAAACAAATACATCCTTGCTAATAATCACATCAAATAGCATCTACATGCTCCAATTAAAAGCAAGACCAACTAGATGCTGTACAAGAAACTCCAATTAAATATAAAAACACAAGTCAAGGCAATAGGATAGAAAAATACATACCATGCTAACACTAATCAAGAGAACACGGGAGTGACCATATTAATATCAGAGTAGGTTTTATAGCAAAGAATACAACTAGGGATAACAGGGACATTTCTTGAAATAAAGGATCACTTCATTAAGAGGACATAACAAGCCTAAATGTTCATGCACCAAAGGTGATCTTGGAGGACTGTGCAAATGTTCCTGGCTCCATTGGTGAGTAAGGACCTATTCAAGCCATACACTTAACAGCTGAAGGAGAGAAAATTGACAAAGACGACACAATAGGCATTCAGAAGAGAGGACATGACTGTTAAATTGATGGAATCCTAAAAAGTATTTTCCAAAAAGACCCCTCTTAGGACAGCTTTGCGAACTCAACCTTGTGCTGAAGGGCTTTTATTGCATACAGTTCTGTTGGAATAAATGATGCCAACAAAATCAATATTGTTTAATAATGAAAACTGTGTTTATAGATAAACTCCATGTGTGCTAAGAGTTGAGTGGTGGTTGAATAACTTCCACAGTTGGCAGAGTACAGGGTGAGTTTGATGGTGTATATTAGTTACCCTTGGAGCTCAGTTATTTTATGCTCTTGTAACTGCAGCCACTCGCACTACACTTCCTTGTTAAATTTCAACTCAACCTCACCACCTACCAGGTGGCTTTAGATGAGTTGTTTAGGGGAACTCCTGTTTCCTCTTTGTAAAATGAACATTATGATGCTTCTCCCAAGATGAAGTGAGCACTCGAGGAGGGGAAGCTCTGAAAGGGTCTCTGTACTGTAGAGCTTCATGTCAATGGCAGTTTATTGCCATGTCTGCAAACAAATGCATTGCACAAGCATTCAAAAGAGGCACCTCTTGGAACATGCCTACCTCCTGCTTCACATGTAGAGCCATTGGCATTTTCTGCAGCATGTCTGTCTCTACTGTGTCAGAGTGGAAAGAATTTGCCAAAATATTTGCCAGGAAATGTGTTGTGCAGTCTTTTGCTATCTGCTTATCTCCCAAGTTTATCATAATTCCTAGAAAAGTACACTGTGTTTTACATTAGAAACATTTAACTTGAATGTTTAGTCTGCTTTTATTTATAAGCACTCACATAGCCTACTGAAAGTCTTGCAAAGCAGACTTGCAATGTATTATTTTCTTCCGACTGTATTTATATAGTGCTGAGTTATATCTGATACTAAAAGCTTAAATTCACAGCACTTAAATGTTTAAAGAGAAAGTATAAGGCAAAACAAAACAAAAAAGATTGCATAGCAAAGAAAAACATAAAGTTTTACTTGTTTTAGGTTATAGAAATAAGACTGCATTTACAGATAAATGATGAAGACATTAGTGTTACTGATCAATTAAATATGTTTTATAACTTGGCAGTTACTACAGACAGCATGAAAACAAAAAGTGAAAATGATTGGTTTGTTTCTAGCATTTTAGTTTCTTCTCTTTAATCTGCCTAGAAGTCCTACTACTCCTAAGCAGCCTGTTCGGAGTTCTGCATTCCTATAGAAGGTCAGGAGTGCCTGGTTAGTCAGTCATAGGAGCCCAGCCTACAAAGTGCCTTTCAAATCAATCGAGTAAAAAGCTTAATTACCCTGGGATACCCAATTATACCTGGGTCATGAGGGGTTAATTGGGAATGTGGGGGCGGGGGGCATTGACTGCTTTCTGACACGGGACCCCAAAAGCCTTATACCTTGATGAAATTGAAACCATGACTGGAGACCTAGGGCTTTATTTTAATCTCAATCCTGAATCATCAAGCAGATGAAGAATGTCTGGGGGGCAGACTTATGACCCCTGAGACTATAGATAACAGAGCACATTTTCTAGTTTCACACCTCCCATTTCTCTTTCCCTTACAATTGATGCTGTATGATTATTCTAAGAGGAGGACTGACTGATGAGGCATTCCTGACCTCTTATAGGAATGCAGAACTGTAGGTAACAAAAATGATGGCCGAACAGGCTGCTTAGGAGTAGCAGGCCCACAGTGGTACAAAACATTATCCTAGAGGTGCAGAAAGTAGTTATTTTCTTGGGTGAATCTTTGAGGGGAAAGAAGTAGCTTAGTGGTTAAGAATGATAAAAGAAACTATTTGATGAGAAAAGATGAATTCATGGCATTCCAAATACAGAAAAGTTTCTATTTCTTTTAGACAAACTTGAGTGCACACCCCCAGAGTTTCTGTTGCCCGAGAACTTGGATTTGTAACAAGCCTTCAGGTGATGCTGATGCACCAGTGTAGGGAACTTAGACATTACCGCTATAGACTATGAGAAAGACTATATCACTTTTAACCTTCCTGGTTCACTCTCACAAAACATTTTTTTTTATCATTTTTGGTTATCATTTTGGTTATCATTTTTGGTTAGCTTCAGAATATGTAAGGGGGAAGATACAGTAAAATGTCCTCTTATTCTTGTCCCTGTCCTCTGGGTTTTTTCCTTAGAGGCAGTTTCTTGTGTATCTCATGGCTGGTAGGCATGAGAGAAACTCTTCTGGTAACAGCATTCAGAGTACTGGGGAGAGGGGTGAATAGTGTGGGACAGTCAAGCTCATAGTTTAAGGATTTATAACAAAGAGCTTCTTGTAATAGTCACTAGAAGAGGCTATTGATGTGGAAGGATATAAAATACTTGCAAGAACCACTCAATTGTGTGAAGACTGTTTTCAAACATCGCAATATCTAGAACAGTGCCTGGCATATATTGGGTGCTCAGTACTTATTTGTTGTAGGAATGAGTGGACAAATAGAAGAATGAATAAGAGCCCTGTATGTTAAGACTATTCAGCAATTACTATATCACTCTTAACCGTCCTGGTTCACTCTCACAAAACATTTTTTTTTATCATTTTTGGTTATCATTTGGTTATCATTTTGTTTATCATTTTTGGTTAGCTTCAGAATATGTAAGGGGGAAGATACAGTAAAATGTCCTCTTATTCTTGTCCCTGTCCTCTGGGTTCGTTCCTTAGAGGCAGTTTCTTGTGTATCCTGCCAGGACATCCATATGTCTGTATTAAAGTTTTCTAGAACACGAAAGAACTGTAATATACTATATCACTATTCTGATGTTTGCATTTTTATTTAACAATGTATTGTATTGATCATTTCATATAACTTCTGTGTAAGGTGAACTCTCTTAAGTGCTTGTTCTATTTCCATTTCTAACTGTAGAGTTGCCAATATTTAAGTAGTTCTCAGTTGATGGACATTTACATAGCTTGCAATCTTTTTGACATAATTAAAACATTACAGTGACTATCTTATACATTTGCAGTTTGGTAAAAATAATCAAAATGCCTCCAAAGTGAGTAAATAGTTCACACTCCCACTAACAATTTAAGAGAAAGCCTTCAACAGGAAGATGTTTTATGATTTTTCAATTGCTCAATTTAGTGATGAAAATGCATTTTTGTATTTTTTCAATTGTGAGTAGAGTTTTGCATTTTTTTCACTATATGTTAGTTGTATTTCTTGTTCTGTGACTGGCATGTTATTGTCCTTTACTCACTTTTCAGTTTTTTCCCTTGGTGAAACTAGGAAACCCTTTCTGTGTTAAGGAATATGTTACATGATTGTTACTCTATGATTGTGTGTATTACATGAATTTATGTTGTTAACTACATTTTTTTCCCACACAGGATTTCTTAATATTTGGGATCTCAGGACTGGAAGGTATCCCATTCATCGTTTTGAGCATGATGCAAGAATACAGGCACTAGCCCTCAGCCAGGAAGAAGCAACTGTTGCCACGGCTTCTGCTTTTGATGTTGTAATGTTATGCCCCAATGAGGAAGGTACTTGGCAAATAACTGCAGAATTTGAAGTTCAGAAACTGGTGAGCATTTAATATGGTCATTTTATTTTTCATTCTTGGGATCTCTGGGTCTATATAAACAAATAGTAATGATGTGGATAGCTCTCATTGGCTCAGTTCTTGTGGACCATACAATCATAAATCTCAAAACAAGTCTAACAAGAGGCATTAGATTCTTTGGCTTTTTGGTCAAAAAGTCAAAAAAGTTTAGAGCTGTGAATTGAATTGCCCTATTCTCAGAACTAAGAAGCTGTGATTCTGACCCTCCCTAGTGGCACAACAGGTTAGGATGTAACACTGCAAGCTGGCTGCAGCCACTTCAGTGCAAGTTCAATCCCTGACCCCAGAGATGACCCACGTGGCGCAGCAGACCTCTCTCCTGTCTTGCCCACTGCTGCCCTCAGCAATGCTCTTCATCAATCTGTCTGTTCTGTTCCCCACTCTTGTCTCTGGTGAATCCTCTCACCCCCCTGCAACTCTGGCCTGTACCCCAGTTCTATATGCATAAATAAATAAGCTATGGTTCAGATCTTAGACCTGATTTGTCTCATCACTGTGCTTTTTATTCTCCTTCACAGTAATGGAATGTTCACCCCACACATCTGAGCTCAGGTTCTGTCCTGTCCTGATACATGTGAACATGAACTCAATGGTGTCATCATAGTCCATGTGGAAGAGAAGGTTTCCATCCTACTCTTCCCTTTTCTAAGTTTTCCCATCTGGAATTCATATTAACTCTTAAGTGAAAATAGAGTTAAGCCAGTGTTGGTTGGAGAGCTGAGTCTGGCATGTCATGTGTGAGGCTGGGCCAACCTTACGAGCTCTTTTCATAGAGTTTATTTCTAAATGCAGCTGAATGTGAGTCTCTCCATTTGTATGGTTGGAGGTGATTTGGTGGTAAAGAAAGAACTCAAATTTGTCTATACCGAATGTGGATTTAATTTAAACTATCTTGACTTTGGCATTAGAGGGAAACTGAACAGAGATGCTACATTGAACTGATGGCCTGGATGGAGCAAATCCTGTTTCTCTCCCGTTTCCCCTTGTGAAAATAGTGTTAGACTTGAATAACTAAGGCGCTCTGGGGTCACTGCTTCACGTCCGTAAGCTTCTTGTCTCTTTGGTGAACAGTGCTTGCAGTTTGGGTATAGTGTTCCCACCAGAACACCTGATGTCATCTCATCTTGGAGTTTTATTAGAAAAATGCAGAAGTTGCATATTTCTCTTGGTTCTCAAAGCTATCACAGTCGCTTTGGTCTTCGACTAAACACTGCAGAGTAGCAATAATTATAAAAACTCAATTACTTGAGATGTGAGTCCATTTCTAAAGCATAAATCCTGTCTTGGCATTAAGGTGGTATCTTGGCACAGACTGGAAGCTTTTAAAAGTAGATTACAGCTCCCAGCAAATGGCACAACCACTGTCAATATGAGCCTCTTGGTCTGTCAGAAATCCAACATAAGATGAAATTAAATGGCTACACTAAGGATGTTGACTCTGGGAAAATCAGAAATGATTTTTAGAATCGGAGAGAGTAGAAGCAAACAGCCATTGCTGGAGGCATGTGTCATGACAGGCTTTGCGTGTTATTTCTCACCACGATGAGGTCTTGCTGCAGTATTGTGCTGTCTCTGGGAAAGGCACCCCCTGGCCTGTAGAGCTGGGCCATTTTTGTCTCCCCTAGATAGGCTCCCTGAATCACTATGGCTGTGTTCCCAGGTTTGTGCTAGCCTAGAACATCCATCCTTTGTGATGGCCCATGGCTTGGGGTGTGGGCCTGCCGCCGTTGGACCCGAGGATTAGCGAGTCGCCCGGATGTTTACTCTCTCAAGCTTTCTGGACAGTCTTCAGGATGCAGGCTTTTGAACTAATTTGGCTTCCTGTCAGGGCAATCCTCTTTTTCACTGTGGATTTTCATAATTGCACAGCATGGCTCACCTGCTTTCAGACATTCAGAATTTTTTCGAAGTGAAAAGCTGATGTAAATTGCACTCAGGGGACATGTGTCACTCATGGACATAGGAGAAAGCAAATGATTCTTGAAGGGATCAACTCATATCTGTGTATATGTGAGAAAGTAGTCGCAGTAGTGCAGCCGGGAGTACCGCAGGGGTGCAGGGATGCTTGCCTACAGCGGCCCTCCTATCTTGGGTGTTGGGATCAGGAGCGAGCAGAGAGCTCAGGAACCACTTGCCTGTATCAACACATTTTTGGTATTTTCACAGTTGTTAAAATGGAATTTTTTTTTTGCCAATTTGGAACAGAATGAATTTAATTTTTTCTGTTTCATGAGAAAAAAGTACTAAAGTCTTTTATTGTTGAGTAGTTCTCACATCTCATGGTTCAGAATTTAAAAGACACAGTAAGGCTTACAGTGACAAACCTCCCACCCACGCCACTGAACAGCTCCTTTCAGAAGCGTCTGTGGCTCACCTTGCTTCCCTGCCTCCTCCTCCAGTTCACCCTGGAGATGGTCCCATTTGTATCTGTTTCCAGGGAGTATCTACACAATTTTATCTATGAACATTTGGTAGTGTGATGAATAGATGAACTAAAAGTTATGAATTAGGTCTATTTTGTTTTTTTCCAGTGTTTAGCAATGACACAATAGTGCTGCAGCAAATTACTTTGTAAATGGTCATTTTCATAAATGTGAGTTTACTTGTAAGTAAATTGCTAAAGTGACTTCCTGGGTCAGCGCTAATGTGCATTTAACATGGTGGAGTTGCCAGCTTACCCTCCATGAAAGTTACACCACATTATATTCCACCATCCGTTAGTAAATGGGGTTCATAAATGTGGTTATCCCCTCCACTTCTACCCCAGGATTTTATCAGACTATTTAATCTTTACTGATATGCTAGGTATTTTGGTGAATGTTTACTTTGTATTTTGTTTTATTGGAAATGTTTTGTTTCTTTTATAGTGACTATCTCTTTCTTTGTGTAAGAACCGTATATGTTTAATTTCTTATCAGTACTCCCTTTTCCCATGCTTTTCTGTTGGGTTGCTCACATTCTCATTGATGTGTAGGAAGATTTATTTTTGAACAAGTCAGTATGAATTATAGGTGAGCTCTTAAGGACTAAACAGTTCTTTAATCCTTAACTCTTTTAACAGGTTGACTACCTTGAAATAGTTCCAGACACTGGGAGGTACCCTGTGGCAATAGCCACTGCTGGAGATCTGGTGTACCTGCTCAAAGCTGATGACTCTGCCAGGACCCTCCATTATGTCTATGGCCAGCCTGTCACGTGCCTAGATGTCTCAGCCAACCAGGCTGCCTTTGGGGTGAAGAGTCTGGGATGGGTCTACGAAGGAAACAAGGTACAAAAATAGTAGAATGTTTGGCTAACAAGAAGCGGTGGGGGGTGGGGAGTACACTGGACTATGGTGATGGCACATGGATGATTTGGTGATGGGAAGCCCACAGGGATTACAACTGAAATGGAAAAAGGCACAAAATGATGTAAAAATAAACTATTATATTATTTTTTAAAAAGTGATAGCCCTTCAAATAACTTGTTATTTGGTAGTTTTCATTTGTGTTTTAAAATTGAGTGGAAGGAAATTTGCTACAAGAATGTGTTGAAGCATCTCTTTGAAATCTGACAACAGGCAAATATTTTGTGAGTACAGTACAAACCTTGTGGGATGGTTGGTTGTTGTTAGTAATAACTGCATTGAAATGTTTCTCCAGCATGAATGCCACACATTTAAATACCAGGAAAGTCAAGCTTTAGCTAAGAAACTTTCCTTATTGGTGGAAGTTGGATTGTCCCTCTGACTCTGCTTAATGGATGTTCCACTTCTGAGAATACTGCATTTTTAAGAAATGCAGCTGTCGTTATAACAAGCCTGTGTGTGTGTCAAGCCATGCAATGGTGGCTCTCCAGAGTTTAGTGTCGTCCTGTTACCCTATAATGTAATGTCATGATTTCACCACTTCTCCGGGGCACACACAGTCCAGTGCCTATGAATGCCCTGTGTGGCTGCGCGTGGCCGGGAGCATGTGCTCTCTGCGTTTTATGAGGGCAGTTGGACACTGCTAGCACTAGATGCCTGGTGCTATATACACTTGGGGCTGTGTCTGTGCCTCTGACCTGTTTCTAGGACCCAGGCGAGGACTTTATGAGAACAGAGAGTTTGATTTATCTTTCTTTGTGCGTAATACAGAACTGGAACTGTGATGAAAGCAAACAGTGAAGTTCAGATGTTGATAACAGAATTTTAGCAGAGAACTAAAATGCTCCTAACCAGGAGAAGCATTCTAGAGGCGTTTTTGTTTAGTTGAAGGCTATCCTTGTACAATATATGTAATAGGATAACATCAGCATGTTTTAGACACCAAGCTGTCTGAGCACTAGTAATAGTGGTTCCAGTTCATCCATTCACATGTCTGCTAGCCGGCCGGTCCGCCCCGCACCCATCACAGATAGTTAACGAGCACAGTTGTGTTCCTTGTAGTGGAGTCTTAACCAGCATTACATACATACTCAACAAACTGGTGCTTAAATAAGTAACCTCGCTCTGTTTTTAGATTTCTAAGGAAAGAAAAACAAGTAACATCAAAGGTTTGTTTCTTCACTCTTAAGGAAAGACTTGTGACTGAAGCTGGTCTGTCAGTCACTTCTGCTCAGGTGGGAAGGGGCGCAGGGAGAGTCAGTGCTCTAGGGCATTGGTTTGCATGTGCACAGAGATTCTCAGACCTGAATTTCAGAGGCCAGAAGTAGGGGCCACACTTGAATTTGCCAACATTTTCTTTGTCAAGTAAAGTTATAGAAAAAAATTTTTTTTCTTTGTTAAAAGAGAAGATCTCCAAACATATTTTTAAATAGTTTTGACCAGTGCATTCATCTGGTTCAGAAATTCAAAGACATGAAAGTAAGAGTATGCCTTTCAATCTGCCACCCACTTTCTTTTCCTGGAGTCAGATCAATGCTTCCAGTTTCTTGTGCATCCTCTCTGAAATATTTTATGCATGTGTAAGCAAATTAGCTGTACACATCTTCATTTCCCCTCTTAAAAATATAAATGTGGCCCTCCCTGGTGGTGCAATGGATTAGGACGCAGCACTGTAAGCTGGCTGCATCCACTTCAGTGCCAGTTCGATCCCCGCCCCTGAGGTGACCCACCTGCTGCTCCCCTCAGCAGTGTACTTCGTCAATCTGCCTGTCCTGCTCCCCATTCTGCCTGTCTCTGGTGAATCCTCTCACCACCCCTGCACCTCTAGCTTGTACCCAAGTTCTGTATGCATAAATAAATCTTTAAAAAATATATAAATGGTGGGCCCTCCCTAGTGGCACAACAGGTTAGGACATAGCATTGCAAACTGGCCGCAGCTGTTTCAGTGCAAGCTCAATCCCCAGTCCCGGAGTGATCCACATGGCACAGCAGACCTCTCCTGTCTTGCCCACTACTCTCCTCAGCAGTGTACTTCGATGATCTGCTTGTTCTACTCCCCACTCTCTCTGGTGAATCCTCTCACTGCCCCTGCATCTCTGGCCTTTACCCCAGTTCTGTATGTATAAATAAATCTTTAGGTAGATAGATATATGTATGTGTATGTGTATACACACACACACATATATGGTGAAGTACTGTTCTTCACTTAGCTTTTTCCTGTATCAAAATCTGTTGGGGGCCATCTCGTCATTTCTTATAATAAAGAACTTCCTGGTAGATTGGGCCATGCTTGTTGCTGGAGAAGTGATGGCAGGAGATAGTTTGGTACTTTCCCATCAGTTCCTGTCTCTTGCTGGAGGTGTATGGTGAGAATGGTTGGTTGGAGGTCTTTTACTTCTGGATGGAAATATGTTAAGTTCTGATGTTGTGTTCTTAAGTTCTCAGACGTCACTGCATAAGTGACCTTAAATGTAGCCATTGCTAAGTGGCCTGTGATTGTAGAAGAAAGCAAATGGAACCTCAGTGATTCTGGCCTCATCTCCACGTCATGCTGCAGTGCAAAGACCACTGTGTTAATGCAGCCCTTTGTGCCTGAACATCCCTTTAAAATTAGTTTTTATGTCTCATATTTCCTGAATCTGTCAAAAATAACTTCTATCCATGAAAACATATTTCTGATTCCCTATCATCTTTATTAATTCTTTTGCTACCTGCATTAAATTTTGTTCTCAGAGGTGGAAGTTTGGAAGATAGAATTGCCTCATTTAAGAGCATTATGTTGACGATGAGTCTCATGCCTCATAAAGAAAGAGATCCACTTAGGGCTCTTAGCATCATTCTATGTATTTGGACATATTTCCTAATTTAGTTCTGAAGTACTTGGCATGCAGTAGCAGACTGTATTAAGCAGCGCGGCATGCATCCTAATCAGGGAGATGTGAGTGACGTAATCCAGAAGACGGGGATGTGCTTGACAAGGACGCATGCTTGGCGCTGCCGCTGCAGCTTACATCACGCTGGGAAATGATTACTAACGTCTCTGATGGTGATCATCCCTGTGCGCCGACGTGAAGAGACTGTATTGGCTGCTTACACTCATCACAGGCTGTAATATCTGTGTGGAAGAGCCTTTGGAAACAAGGCTTGTGGATTCTGGACCCATTCTTTAATCATCATGCACCACAATAGGAAATCTGTCTTGTCTTTTGTTTGAGGGTCCATTCCAGCGAAGAATAAGAAGCTTGTAGTTTACAGGCAGTGTGAATACTTCAAAATTGAAAATTCACAAAGCAGATGTCTCATTTGTTTTTCACTTTAACTGTAAACCTTTACATTTTTTTTTTATATCAATTTTGTCTTCTTGGCGAAAGAAAGTAGCTCTTAGAAGCCAGTTAGGGTTGTTGGGTAATGTTGATCACATAGGGGCCAGTCACTGAATATCTAGTCACCCGAGATTTCTGTTGGCACTTGAACCAGAGAGATGGATCGTGCAGTCTTCTGGGTCTCACAGGTAGTTTTCTCTGCTTTGAGTTGGACATGAGGTTGTCGGAAGACCTTCACTGTGAGTTTGCTGATCTCTAGAGTGATGTTATGTTACACATGTGGATAGATGAAGACTGAAGTGTTTTGTATGTGTTTGAGTGTTATATCAGTAACTGGTATAAATGAAATTTCCCTTATGTGTTGTGACAATCCTGGAGTATCTCCATAGGGCCTAGAGTTTCTCAAAGCAGTGCACGAGACCTCTGACTAAGAGACTTTTGGGGACCCAGTGAAATCATGATGGGCAATTCTGTAGAAGTATTTCTTGCAATGCTGCTGCTGCTCATAGAAGCGAAGAGTGCTTTAGGGTCTCTAATGTTCCTGGGAAAGAGTGATGAAAGTTACAGGCAGTATCAAGAAAAGTATCTTTAGCTAAGTCAAGGTGATAATATGACCTTTGGGGATCAAATACAGGTTCTGGAGTCAGGTAGACCTTAGGTGAGTTACACATCTCAGGTTTCCAAATGGGGGACTCCTGGGAAAGGAAGGAGTGCATGAGACTGGTGCTTGGTGCTTGTAAGAAACCACCTTCACTCCCACCCTGCTGGGCTGATGGGGTTAGGTGAGAGTTCATAGGAAAGACTGGGCAAGGGAGCATTCCAGGCAGAGGCTGGAGGAAGGAAGGAGTTTGGGGTCCAGGAAGGAAGAAGCAGTGTTGGGAGATGATGCAGGCTCACCGGTCAGGGGCACCTGTGGGAGAGCATGGGGGGGTGTGCTGAAGCGGTGCTTTGTAGTAGCTGCAGTCTGTGGTCTCACAAAGCTCACTTTCCCGAGAATTGCTTTGAAAGAATGATTAGAGAAGGATGGTTCAGGTTTGTTTTCTTGCAGAACTAATACAGTGAATAGGAATGCTGAGTCACTTTGTATAAAAGCCTTTGAGATGTGAAGCTTTATGTGCAAAAATACATAGTTTTTGCATTTCAGTGATATTTATATGATTGTCTAATGTTTAAAAACAGTGATCAGTATGCTTGAGTTTCTGAGAAAGTTCATGAGACCATTACAGTGGAAGTGTATTGATCAGTTGCCTTTCTTTCACCTTTTATATTAAGCTTAGAATTTTATTTAGGACCTAATTTTTCTAATATCTCCTGATTATAGATGTGAAATTTCCACTTGGGTTCCATCCCACACCCGTGGGAGAGTTTGAACTTAGATAGGCATGTCTTCTGTTTCTTTGTGCCATGTTATCAGAGTACATGATTCCAAGCAGCAACTAGATTTGTTAGGGTTAAAAATCAGCTGATTTTGGAGCTGTTAGAAATGTTTGCCTTCCACTGCATTGTTTGGATATGTATATATGTCTCCCCAGTTGAGCCTGATGACATACATGATGGTGGTGTTTGAGGAAGGATTAGGAGAGAAAGAGAGAGGGCACA